GCGTCCCCAGGGACAGACCGCCCAGGCGCCAGTTGCAAGACGGCACAACGCACCATCCAGTTGGCGATGGTGTGCACACCTGTCCCTCTCGCCCCCTTTTTCTTTACTTCTTTCCTCATCAGGTCCATCCATCCATCCATCCATCCATCCCATCAGTCATCGTCATCAGTTTTCATTCCCATGCGGCGCGCGATCCAGGGGCGTTCGTTGTTGGGCGGGTTGCGCGGCGTCGCAAAACGAGGCGCAAAAGGCGGGCTGGCGGGCGGGCTGGCTTGGGATTGCCCGGTTTGGATGGATGGATGGATGGACGGACGGGACGGCGCGGACGTGGCGGACGGACGGTCGGTCGAGGGCGCGCGGCTTGCGGCCACGAAATGACAATGAGCACATACAAGATGGGAGAGGCGCTCTATCTTGCGCTTTGGCGGCGCCATGTACGAGGATGATCCCGCAAAGAAAAGTACGAAAGCAGTACAGCTACAATAAGAAGAATAGTCTATCACGGCTCTGTATCTATTGGGTAATAAAAGCAAAAAAGGGTCGGGGAACACGCGCGCTCGTTCGGATCGAGCGCGCAGATGATCGAGCAACAAGCAACAAGCAACAAGGCAAAGCGTGGGTAGGTATAATTAGGAGGCTTGAGCGCCCGGGTCCGTTGGGTTCCATTGCTTTGTCGTCAGTGACGGGGCAGCAGCGCCCAAAAGCAACCCGTGCTGGAAGGGAAACGACGGCGATCGCATGGCGTTTGCGCAATCTCACTGATGAATGAACCCGGCGGCGGCGCCCAGCAGCTTTGGTCCCCCGCGAACGTCAGCCCATCGAAATGGGATGGGCTTGGGCCAGCAGCACGGGGGCCCGGTCCCTTTCAGGCCCCCAACGTTTGGACGGGCGGCAGTGCGCTCATCAATGTCGCTGTAGGTGCCTCTCATCAATCTATTTCTGGCCCCCCGGGGGCTGGCTTGGGGGTCACAGACAGAGAGGCAGCTGACGACGGGAACGACCTACTGCTGCAACAACACCAGCCACCATAATAGAATAGGCAGCACTGCAAGTGCTCTGCATGGCAGAGACGTACGTACGTACAAATGCATGTGCGCGGCCAGAATGCGGCCAGGGCTCGCTCTGCGCGGTGTCTCCCGTGACAGCATGGGAAACAGCCACATTCGACATTTTTGCGTGTACCCTGTGAGTCGGCGAGCTACAGGGGCAGCCCGGGGACAAAAAGGAATTGAGAGCGCCAGAGTCCATCCCGTCGGGAGCCATCCCCGCCCCGGTCGTGGCCGGTTCAGGCGAGAGCGAGTACAGAAAACAGCCGTTCCGGGCGTCCGTCTGAGGTACTTGGCCGCACCTGGTAAATTTCGGGCAGGAAGGATCTGCCGCCGCGGCGTGCTGAAAGTCAAAAGACATGACTCCTGACAAGCGGTGTCAGGCCAGACTAGCGTAGCACCTTCTTTCTCTCTTTCTCTCACAGACAGGCGCGCGCGAGGTACCGACATATGGTGGTGGTGGTGCGTGCACGTTTGGCTGTGGGCGCCTGTTTCAATTTCCCAGCCAGCCCAGCCTGCAGCAGCAGCAGCATTAGTTAGCAACACCGACAGCGGTGCAACAGCGGGTTCCATCTTGCTTCAGGGGAGGGCGTGCGGCGCTGTGGTGAAGTCGGGTGGCTCCTGGGTCCCGGGCCCCCCAACTGCCTGCTGAGTGGGCGTCCAGGTAATAATTCCCGGCTCCCTCAGGTCTCCCTCAGACTCGGTTCTGTCTTGTCTGGGGTGGCCGGCCAGGAGGACGAGAGACGACGGGGGAGTTCAAACTCCGCCGTTATTTTTTTTCCTTCTTTATTCCAGGTTCCGAGCACTCTCGAGGGATGGACGGGCGGACGGACGGACGGACGGACTGACACGGCGGACAGACAGGCAGGCAGGCAGGCAGTCAGTCAGACAGACAGACAGACCGCCGTCCACGGTGATTTCACAATGATACGGGAAAGGCTTGCAGGGGGGGTGGTCGGTCGTTTGGGCCTGAGGAGCGCTGCGCTGGCTGCTCGGGACTCCAACGAGCCCTCCTCCACTCACCTCGCTCGCTCGGCAGGCCAAGGCAGCATTCACTTTCACTCGATGGGCGGAGTGGAGGTACTTTCGGCGCTGGTACTGGGCTGACGTACCGAAGTCACCCACCCCTGTCCCACGCCCCTCTCACCCCTCCATCCGCCACGCCCCCCCCCCCCCCCCCGCCGTCCCCATCGCCCACCCTTTTCTCAGATTGCCTTGCCTTGTCCGCCTTTCTTTGGGGCCTTGCCTTGCCAATGTCCGGTGTCCGTGAGTGCCTGTGAGAGAGGTCCCAGTCTCCGGGACCCGGCCTCGCGAAATACATAAGGCGCCGGGCCTGCCCTCGTCCCAAGGCTTCCGGAATCCCGTCTTTTGCTTCGAGTGCTAACCACATCTTCCTCTCCATCCGATAGCAAGTCGTCTAGTCCAGACAGACAAAGAGCTCTTCATCAGTCAAAGCAACCTTTCGACGCAACGCACCCAGGCCAGCCAACTTACACACGAGCCTCACCACCGTTGCTCGTCCCACTGCTCAACAACACCACGCGTCGACCCATCACGACGTCAACCACCACGGCAAACATGCCTGCCCAGCGACCCTCGCACCTCCCGCCGTGCCCCGGCCCTCCTCCCAGCCGGCCTCTCCCTCCTCTGCCCAACCGGGGCTAAGCATCGCCGTCGACGACTACTACCTACCTATTCCTCACGGCTCAGCAACGTCTGCTCACCTCGGTCTAAAATTCGGCACCCATATCAATCGTCTCTTTCGTACCCAAAAGAGGCGCGATAACAACGTCACCACCCATCCACCACATCTCGTCTGTTTCTGCCCTGGCGTCACACACCAGGCAGAGCCGCAAGCTTATGGCCCAGCCCTGCGCCTCGAACCATGCAGCAGCAGTCGCAGCGCGCATCTGCACGTCAGCCATCTCACCCGCACCCATACCCTGTCCACCTCGCGGCGGGGTCGAAGCCATGCTGCACCGCCCGCCGCCCATGGAACCGACAGCTGGAGGCAGGCTTCTGCATTCTGCATTCTGCACCCCGAGGTCATCTGCCCCCCTCAATGGCGGCCCTGGCGGCGGCCGCATGCATGGATACGCCGAATCATCTTCCCGGACCTGACCGCGCCTTAACGGGAGATTCGCCCGTGCAGAGATAAATGCCCGCACCGGCGGCCACGATCATGACCACCTCCTCTACAGCAAACATACCCCGCCTGCTCGCGCGTGGGTCCCTCACTTGAGGGGGACGTGGCCGCATCTTCGGTCGCCTCAACGCATTCACCGTCCTCGCTGGCTCGAGCGGAATGGGGCCCTTTTCCTCGTCCTACTTTTTATTCTCTCACCCGACGGCGCCCGAGGCGTCCGCCGCGGCCTACTTCGTTGTACTATTCTAAGACTTTAATCGTCTCATATCACCGTCTCGTCACGTCACATCACATCTCGCATCCACATCTCATAGCCATACTGGGCTTTACGCATCACGCATCTCCCAACCCCTCCCTCCCTGACTTTCAGTGCTTGGGATCAGGGGTCGCATTTGGGTCTGTACTACTAGAGGGCCTCGCAATTGGTTTCGTTCTAGTTTTTTTTTGAGGCGGCTGCGTCGCTGTTGATACCCCTCACCTCAACGACAGCTACTCGGGATACGATGGGGACAAAGGCTTAATGATGAACACGGCTCATTACTCGGGAGGAAGGGCACGTCATATAGAATACTGGCATCGACTTCGCAATAGAAGTTTGCAAACTGTCCACTGATCGCTCGGTGTAAGACGTTTGACAACACATACCTAATACTAGCTTTTGTTATGTTACACACCCTACCCAAAGTCAAGCTCTCAAATCTCATGCCACGGGAGCTCCCATCGGGGAATCTCGCACAGCAATCCTGGCCATCTGTCCACTTTGACGTCGCCAGGAGCCATCTCCGGTTGCCGGAGCCGAAGGGCGGGACGCAATCTGCCCCTCTGACACGTCGCGCTTCACTCTGACCTGACGTCCTCCAGCCACAGCACCCCTTGCCGAAG